TGTACGCATGTACGCATGTACGTATGTACGTATGTACGTATGTACGTATGTACGTATGTACGTATGTACGTATGTACGTATGTACGTATGTATGTATGTATGTATGTATGTATGTATGTATGTATGTATGCAGCATGTCTGCATGTATGCATGTACGCATGTATGCATGTATGCATGTATGCATGCATGTATGTATGTATGTATGTATAGGTACATACATAGAGAGACAGAGAGAGATCGCAGGAGATGTGCCTGCGAACTTCATCGGGCAGGAACTGCTTGCAAAAGGCTGCGACCTGGGAATGGAAGAAGGTGTCTGATAAGAGTTCACTTATAGATGCTCTGAAGCACCCCACCTCCGCACCACCATGCCCGTCGAAAACGCCGAACAAGGAAAGCTCATCCCTCGGTGGACAGGAAGTGATGCGATAGCTACGCTGAGTGACCTTTGCGATCCTACGCCCTACGGCATTTTGTCGAAAGGAACTTGCATGCCACTCAGGCTGACACAGCTCGTCTCCCAGTCCAGACACGGCTATGTGAGCATCCTGACTGTGGGGAATAGACACTGCTGCTCTGACCCCAAATCGAACGTCTTGAGAGAAGCTGGCCTCCATGTTGGTCCTCCAACCCTGCATGGCGCTGCATGCCCAGACATGGCCCCTGCAAAATGCAGGCCCGGGCAGCCAGTGTGACTTCATGCAACCGCCACATCATTGCATCGTTTCCCTACAGAAAGAGGTGCGGATCCAGGCAGCACTCCCGCCTCCCTCTTCCAGAGCACGACCTGTGCTCCGGCTTTGCAGCTGGTGAGGCTAGCGATACTGGTATCATGTGCCAAACGGAACCGTACGCGAAAGTGGTAAGAGCACATGTAAATCCTACGCTAGTTGAGCACGTTTCTTCTCCTCTCGCCCCCAATGCTGCCAGTGCGGCTCCTTTTCAGTGACGGGCTGGGACCTCAAGCCAGCGGGACTTGAGTTTTCTGCTAGATCCGCCAAACACAGAGCAATAGATGGCCGACAGCGATGCAAAGAATCGAGGCTTCGACAGGTAGGATCCCATGACGACTAACTACTACAGCCGGACTTGTGCCGGCGTGCCATTCCGACCACAGCCAGCACCGGGTTCTGTTTGTCAATATCCGTAGTGTCTCAGCAAGCCATGCAGCCATGTGATTGTGGTTCTGACAATGGTTCTGTCTTTACGTCAACTGTGGCTTGGGCCAACATCGGCTTGAGGACATGATACAGCTGAAACTCTGGCCGGCGGTACGAGAATGATCGTGTCGGAACGCGCTTTTGCATTCCGGCGGAACGCAGAAAAGATTCCGGCAGCCTTTGCACTTCTTCCTGCCCTGCTGCGCGTCCAGGCAGAGGGACGCTGGCAGTGGAAAAGACGGGCGGTGTGCTGTCATCGGCGCCTGGAAGCGCAATACTGTGATCGAGCAGGCGAAGCTGGCCCACTGATCCCATGTTCATGTCGATCATAAGTCGATTCTGTACCGAACCGTTTTGGATCGAAGTCGGCTGTGCTCATTGCTCCAGCGTAGAGTGATAACGCCATCTCGAGAAGCCGTGTACTTTCCGGAGACTTCACCTTTCGAAGCTTGCACGATAACGGCTTCAACCACCAGATTCTCTTCCTCCGGCTGCTCGTCTTGAGCAAATTCCGGATGAAGCCACAAGGAGGCCGAGAACTCGATGTCAGACGCACCAAGCCATGCGTCTCCATCTCCGGCAACAACTGAGAAGGACCAAGAAATTGTCTCTCCGGCCCGTAACTCCCGGCATCGTTGAAAGCAATCGCCTGCTGCCACAAGGGCATCGCCAGAATTCGCATCCTGGGCCAAGGAGAACAGTTCGCGCAACATTAGAGGCATCAAATCAAAACTAAAGTGAGCATGTGATGTTTGGGGGGATTTGAGCGCTCGAAACATGCCGGTGTCGACGAAAACTTTGGTTTGACAAGCTGTCTGCGTTTTGCGATGTGATGACAATGTCAGGACTTCGTAGATGACATCGTCGCCGTAGGTATGCTGCGCAACATGGCCGGCAGAAGCAGCAACACGCACATCTACAAACTTGAACGTCTGAGCTTCAGTCAGCCTTTGTGGGCTGTGAACTAGATTTCAATGCCATAATATCTTGAGAGAGGCATGTGTAGTGTAGGCATAACTTTGCCGGTCGAACCTGACGATGTCAAACTCGGGTTGCACGATGTTACATGCTGCATCGCACCCGCAGCCATAGGTCACACAGGTCATATTCTGTTGGAACCTGACCTTTGCTCAGAACCAGGAAAACCTGAAAAACACCTTGAAAACGCCCGGACACACGAGAGGAAGGACGCCGTGACTGGCGGATTGGTTTAGGTAGATCCTGAGCCTAAGCCGAGAAAATGCGATGATGGGTATGGATAGGAACTTCAACCACGAGACACCAAAACGGTGTCATTACGGTGTCAACCCGACCATCATGATGGTAGTCAAACCCAAAAACTCTTTTACGAGCGGTGGCCGAAAGCAACAGGCCCTTACCCACATAAATTCATCGGGAGGAAACCCGGAAACAGTGCAACAGCATCGATAGCCTCCATGTAGGGATACGGTCTTCCCCGTTCGACTCAAAGGCAGAAGCTAACAGAGCTTCGGTTGCTAGCGAGTGTCGGTTTCCCCAGATACAAGACCGACGCGTGTGGCAAGCAGGTGCTTCAACTGCGACTCGGACACCAGCTCCAAGAAATCCTAAGCCAAAGCAAAGCGGTAGTTCATGTCACTTCCTCTTGGACCGTGAAACAAGGATACAGGTGCAATCTCAAAACAGACTGGAGGATGGCACGGTTTGGCACCTATGTGTGGCAAAGAATCCTGATCGGATGTGCCATCTCCGTCCAGAAGCATCAGCTTTCGAGAAAACCGTTCCGGCACCAGGGCTTTGAACCAGTTGAAGGCCTTCACGGCTACCCAAGGTGCGTTGAGGACATACACTGGGCCCAGAACCTCGATCACGACCTGGCGCATAAACTTCATGTTGGCTTGGTTCCTATCGTCGAACTCCTCAACCTTGGGAAAACCGGTAGCAGTGGTGCCGCTACCGTGCAAGTCGAGGATCATGATGCACTTCACCTCAGGAGTCCAAACGGGAAGAGGCAGAGAGAGGCAGCAAGAGGCAGAGAGGCAGAGGAGCAAAGGAAGCCCCCGGTTGCGCCAGGTGGCCATGCGCCCCTGGCTCTCACTGAGCTTGTGGGCCTCCACAGCGCGCAAAATGACCATCGCTCGCAGGAACTCCACCCAGTGCGCCCAGTCCACCTCCTGCAGAAAAAAGCAACACAAAACGATCGGAGACTCAGGATCAGCTCTCTCTCTCTGGTCTGGCCGGCCAAGGCTCCTCGACCAAGGATTCCCGATTAAAATCACCCAGCGGCACATACCTAACGAAGGAGAGCGGAGCGAGCGCATTATGCCAGAAGCTGACACGGACAAGGCGGAGAAAAAGATGCCCCAGAAACACACATGAAGGCTTGTCAGGCTTTTCAAGAGGCCAGGCACCAAATCACATCCCCAGAGGGAGTCAGCCTCGGCGCCGAAAAGACGCAGCGAAAGTGCTTCTCTATCTCCGAGGCGTGGGGGAGCATCGACGTGCATCCACGATCCAGGCCAGACTCTTCCAGTCTCTGTGTCATTTTCGAAACAAGAGGGTCTACCTGGTGTTCTGCCATCTTCTCGAGAAATTTCTGGAACCAGTTAACCGATTCTGAGAAGTAGCCCTCGTTGCCGCGCAGGACGCGAGCCAGCGCCAAGTCGCTAAACAGGCAGGGCCAGTCCTGCCCAGTCTGCGCACGCCGCTCGAATTCGTCAGCAAACTTTGCACGCAGCCTTCCAACCAGCTCCAGCTCATCCGTCTCTGGCCAAAGATCCAAAGAGTGCAGCTCCTTGTAGGAATCCCGCAGGGAGTCGCCGCTCAGCACCCTCACCTTTTGCAAAAACTTGGCCGGCACAAAGGTTTTACACAGGGTGAAGAGGTTCGCAAGCGTCCATGGTAAATTGATCACATAGACATTGGCGACTATCTCAGCTGCCACTTTCTGTTGGAAGCAGTCCACAACATCTCGCCTGTGAGCTCGCAAAAATGTCCGATTCATCGCAAGGTCCAGCGAGCATCCTTCCATGTCAACGACAAGGACGATTCTCGCGATCCGGCCAGTGCGTTTGCTAAGGGAGTCCAACGCCAAGCACTGAAGCACAGTGCCCGCCTTGCCTCGGTTGTGACATTAAGGCCGGGATCAAGGATTTCCAGACTCCATGTCCGTAAATCACACAGGCAGAGTGATTCTTTCCCGGGTCTGCTAACAAGACATCGCCTACGACTGAGATCGGAAATTGCGAAGATGTGGCTACAGCCGGCTAATGTCTGTGTCGAATCATGGGCAGTAGGCCCGAACACGTCAGGTTTCAAGCCATGTTCAGACCATGATCATGGTGGCTTCGGTTTGGGCGCAGGTATCAGTTCGTGCCTTCATGTGGGGAAGCTACAACCCCAAACCAGCCTTGTCAATTGCTTGTACCTACTGGGGATGCCAAAAGAGTCCGTGCGGCTGTAGGTGACCCACTGGTCCCAGTCCATATGCTCCATGATGCCATTCTTGTCATGGTCAATCAACCTGAGCGGGTCTTCAAACTTTGCGAAGGGCTCTCACATGTAAAATGCTTCAGCGAAGTTGCGGGCCCTAAACCCCAGCAACAACATAACCCAGCTGCGGGAGATACATGATGATGTCGCCGTCTGGCGAAAGCTGCAATGCATGGAGCTCTGCATGATAGAAGTCCTTGACGGCATCGTAGTGTGGGAGCATGCTGGCGTGAATCGTCTCGGACTTCGCGGCTTCGAAGCGACGGATCACATCCTGTATTAAGTCCTCGGCACCCCGCTCGGAGATGGCCTGGAGAAAGGCCTCCAATGCTGCGGTCTCTCTCGCCGCTCAAAAAAACGATGCTCATGTCTCAAGACTCTCAAGCAAATGATCTATCACAACTGGCCCGAAACCTCGCGCCTGAAACCACTCGCAAGCCTTCTCCACGTTTCCATCAACTGCCCGAAGAATGCGAGCCAGGGCAATCGGCCCGAAGAAGCAAGGGTATGCGCGGCCATCAGCCTCGCGCTGCGCGAAGTCGTCGTGAAAGCGCCGCCTGAGAGTTTGCACGAAATCTTTGTCTTCATTTGTCAGAAAGTCGAAGTCTTCATCGGCCAAATCCATCAGAGGTGGCTGGCCAAATGATGTGAAGATACAGGCTTTGGGGGACTGCCGTTTGCTGTGCATGATGCGTTCTTGATAGGAGTAGTGCAGGTCGGTTGAAGGTTTGCACACTGTGCTGGATCATTCTAGACCTGGGTAGCCTAGTCCTGGAGGCATTGCAGCTGCGGCTTGGTCATGGTGATCATCAAAAAACCTCATATTGTCACTGGCGACGACGATGATGGGTCATTGTCGTGGTCGTGGTCATGGTGATGATGATGATCATGATGATGATGATGATGATGATGATGTTGATGATGATGTGATGATGATGTGGTGGCTACCACCGCTGCCGCTGCCGGCGCCCGCGCGCATGGTGTGGATGGTGACACCATGTGGCAATCGTGACCGTGATGGCGATGATGAGAGTGACAATGGTGAGCATGGTGCTGCCCTTTGTTCACCCTGCTGACCTGCTGCTGACCTGCTGCTGGTGCTGCCAGTGGTGCTGATGCTGATGCTGATGTTGACGCTGATGCTGCCGGTTCTGGTGCTGGTGCTGCTGCTGATGCTGAGCTGGTGCTGGTGCTGCTGGTGCTGGTCTGGTGCTGGTGCTCGCGCTGATGCTAACAAGTACGACCAGAGAAGACCTGCAACTTGTAACGATAACTTTACGAGCGGCCTGTTGAAGTGACGGTTAAGTAAAGGAGTAAAGATACACTGGATCAACCACCTTCAAAGAGGAGTACCAAGAACTTGCAATGTCCCGAAACAGAGACCCAAAACTATGTATCTGCATTGGAACTCCTGCGAACCCACAAATCAAAATAGTCGGCTCTGTCCAGTTGTTTTCCGCTTGAGGCCGCCGCCTAAAACACAAACTTCTGGGCTACTGGGCCCCTCAAACTCTGAGTAAACAGAGCCAGCGGAGTTCGCTGCTCTGGTTGTGCATCTCTTGTCGGTTCCTGCGCCCATGGAGCGGCCTCTTCGCGGATGGGAAGATTCACTGGAAGATGTCCCCGGGATTTCAGTGATTCAGTTGGCGGCTGGTAGCCATGCGACGAAGTTGCCCTTGGCAGCTGCATCCTGCACGAATCGTCCAAATGGCTGCAGCGAGAAGTATCCGTGGACATTTAAACGAAATGGCAGATGCGAGATGAAAATACACTGAATGCTCAAAATCTCCAGATTAAGGGCACGGATGTCGTGTCCTCCAGGCCCTTTGTCGACTTCACTCGGACCCAGTCAACGGACATCGGCACGTTGCCCTGCAGACACGAGACTTTCACTGCCGACATGACCAGTTGCCGCAGGCTTATGTCCAGTTCAGTTCACGCTGGGAGCTGCTGGAAGCTGCCTGTCGTTGGTCTGCGGGTTGCTTTGTGTTTTGCTTTGCTTTGCTAGGGGTCAGAGCCAAGGGGTGTGTCTCTATCTCTCTTTGATCTTCGGGTTTCGGAGAACGGTCGATTTCGACGGAAACCAGCGACGACGCTCTGCGAGTTGTATCCGGCTCCTGCCCTTGGTGCCTCCAGGTGCAGGCGAAGCTCGTAGCGACTTCCGTTCATTGCCTGGTCCTTGTCGTGCGCTCCTGGACTCGGAAAGCGTCTCCCAGATGGCTAGAAAGCATCGGCATCACCTGGACGGCAGATAAGCCCCGCGCCGATCGTCCAGAAGAGACCTATTCCGCCACTGTGGCTGAAGGCAACTTGCTCTCGTTGTGCTCAGTAGCTAACATTTGCTGACTCACAACCGGGCCGCCGACCCTCGGTCGCAGGGCCTGGGCCTTGCAGCTCGTGTCCCTCATGCGGGTTGGCCTCGGGTCTCGTCAGAGTGCTGGCTTTCATTGCAGTCTCTTGGAAGGTTGCTGGAAAAGAAATGCATCAAGTCCACTGTCCTGAACATGGCTTCAAAGTGTCAATCTCAGAGGCTCAACCGAGGTTCTGGTGTGAACACCAAAAAGCTTCGGAGCCGCGAGCCGCTACACGTAGCAGCCACTAAGTCAGTAGCTCTCCGACGCAGCATGTAACAAAGGTACGTAACTCTTGGGGTGCCACGTCCTTCACCGATGGGAAAAGGCATCTGGTAGTTTGGCCGTCCTGACTGTGCTCACAGCCCCGTCATGCCCGATTGCAGCAGCCGTCTCAAAATCATGTCTACATGCGGCTAGACGACCCGGTCTCATTATATCTAATCTGTCAGCAGTTGGAACCACTTGTTCATGAGCCTGTCTTTCCAGTTGGCAATGTTGCAGTGTGCCGAAAATAGAACAATTATTTGAGCAAGATTGCCAAGCAATCTTGCAATCTTGGTCTTACCTTTTAGACCAAGATTGCAGGGGGGGTGCAAGATTGCAAAGCAATCTTGCAAGCTTGGTCTCCAACAGGTAGACAGCTAGACAAATCGGCGAGCAAGCGGGGCCAGGGCTGCCAAAGGTAGACTAGTCGTCGAGCAAGTGGGGCAAGTGGGGCTAGATGATCAAGATTGCCAAGATTGCGCGGCAATCTTGCTCCCCCCTACCAAGATTGAAAAGATTACCAAGATGGCTCCGTCAAATACTGGTCATTGTTCTAAATTCCCGGCACAATGCAACATTAGCTAAATCTCACGGACTTGGCTGGAATGTAGCAATAGCTGCGGCGAGGTGGGTCGTCGATGCTGACATTTCCTCGAATAGCGTCGTCGTTTGCCTCTGTGAGCTGTCTCCTTCAGGCCGTTCACCAGGAAGCTGGCAAGGGCAAGTGCGGCAGCAGCAGCCCACGGACTTGCATCCGAACTTCAGCGGATTTCAACCATAGGCTCTACTCTCTACTCTACTGGTTTGAATACCCGGTTTCTATCAGTTGGCTTTGCTGCGCCGGCGTCGCTGACGAAAAAGCATCGAAGATGTCAAAACATAGCCACACATGGCCGCACGAGCACGACGAGGAGCCACCCCCCGATCAGCTGCACTTGCAGATTCAGACAGAATCCGAGTGCTTCTCAGGGGTCTAGTGAGTCGGGAGCAGTGTAGTCCTCGTAGATTACGAAGCTAACCTGCAGCAGCGTGGACAGGCACTCCACCAAGAGCGAAGCCGCTCAGTCGTTGGCGGAGGGATCCTAAGAATCGCCGTGCCTTCGCAAGCTCGTTAAGCTCTAAGAAGAGGTGGAAGTAACTTCCTGCGATGCGGTCACGAAGCATTATGCTTTCAAGAGGTCTTTACCACCGTCCACAAAACAACATTCGCCGATGGCCCTGAAGCCCTCTCTCCCTTCTAGTCTAGGAGTGTGGGCCTTGCCAGGCCATTTTGTAAGAATGGTTGCTCCAGCTTCCGAAGCAGAGTCGTACCTGCAACCAGCCAAAGACAGGCTACTGTATAGCACCAAACAGCCGACACAAAACAGATTCTGGGCCCGAACCATGTATTTCCGTCGCAGATGTAGAAGCACCAACTCCTCAAAAAAGAGGTACGCGTCGAGGCTGACATGCGACAGACACAGTGAGATGATGGACAGTCCTCCGGCACTGGGGCGTCAGTGCTGACACGCTCCCAGTTGACCTCGCAGTCCGAGTTGGCTCGAGGCTGACGACATCTGACGACCGTGCAGCAGTGGCCTTCATCATGTCTTCTCCTGCTTCGTCCTGCCGCTCGTACCTCAGAACACAAAACTTCTGGAACCCATCGTCAGAGCCCATTTCGTTGAGCAGCACAAAGCCTTTGGCCCGGGCTCAATCCTGAATACGTCGCCCGCAGAGGCACGGAACGCCCTGGCGAAGCAGCATCGACTCGCAAAACTGTGGCAAATGTAAAAACAGTGGAGTCGCGATGCTTGGCATGGGGAGGCTTAACGACACATACTTGCCAGAGATGCCAGGAGTTGAGCGAGCTGCGCTGATCCCATGCACCTCAGCTGGCTAACTGCTCCAGTCCGCAGGCAATGGCTGCGTAAGGCTTACAGACTCTCCGAGCTGCGGACGCAGCACAGCTCGACCAGGAACTCGAGACAAGAGCGTTTCAGGCCCAATCACCTCGACCCAAAATCCAAATCGCTTGGTGGACTTAAGACGGGATCATGGCCGCACCTGGTTCCGATCTTCATTCCGCAGGAGGTGGAATTGCTGATCTCCGGTTACCGGGATTGTCACCTGCCCAGAAGCTCCCTTCGCTTCGCTTCGCTTCGCCCCGCCGGCGCCCCGGCACCTGGCCTCAACTCGGTGCAAGTGCCTCCGAGCAGGGTCTGGCTTCATTGCCTGCCATGCTCTCGCAGTCAGGTGGGCGAGAACGCAACGTGACAGCACCCCTGCATCTCTTTCACATCTTGCAGACAATTGCCCGTGTTTCAGGCAGTTCAGCATCTTGAGCTTTGCTCTCAGTGCTGCCTTACGCGCTTCTCAGACGCTCTTGAAGATGTTTCGGCATCATGTGATCTGGCGGCCGCCACTTGAACTTCCTTGGGCGTCGATGCAAACGAGCATTTCGGAGGGGTGACCTACCTGCCAGTGCCACAGCTCGCATGCCATTGGGACACTTGCTGGGATCCGGAAACATGTCTGGCAGCAGGATGTTGCACCTCGGCTGATCTTTCGAAAGCCCTTCAATACCGCCTTGCATTGCAGGAGCACGACTCGTTCAGCTGAGCTACGCAACAGCAATCTGCCACAGAAGGGCGCGATACTCGGCCTCCTTCCTCGGCATTGTCAACAGCAAAATTGCAAAGGTGCCTCCATAGCATGCTACCCCGTCTCCGCAACAGCAGAATGGAGGACGATCCAGATGCCAGGAATCCCCTCATCATCGATGCTGCCCACCAACTTCTGAAGGTTGCGAAGGCTGCCCGTCAGAACGGCGACATGCGCCTGCTGGAGGTAGCGGAAGAAGTAGTGGCGAATACAATTTTCTTGCTATGCGGCCGCTGTGCCTCAAGCGAAGCAACAACTTGCCAGACGCAGCGTAAGCTTTGGGCAGACCCGATCGCTGACATGGGTGTCATGATGCGGTATCCACAGCGTGAGCCTTCGCAGATGGCCATCCCAAATACCTCAGCGTTCGAGCTTGCTGCCGGCTCGCAATGCACGCTCGGATCGGGTCTCCAAGGAATGCCACCGGAACGAGGAGGCGAGTTCAACCAGACTTGACGGACAGAGTTCAGCCGAGCCTCAGAGCTTCCTGCCAATCTTGGATGGAGATTGACTTACTCTTAGGCCGCTTGTCCACTTCAGCGAGGACGCATTCCTGGTCACTTCGGTTTGCATCCGCCAGCCGTGCCAAGCCGTGCCAAGCCGTCTCAAGCCTCAACCTTCTGGCGGAGCTCCTTGTACCTACGTAGAGTCGTAGAGGCATTCTGACACCATCAGAACTTTGAAGTGTTTCCAGTCCAACTGAACCGAACTTGGAGCCATACGCTGGCAGTAGTTCTGGCAGCTGGACGACCAGTGGAGGATCCTTCCTCAGCATCCAGGCATCCAGCACCCTTGTTAGTTTGCCCCGGGAGCTGTACCGTACTACGCGGTGAGTCTCGGCACCATGGAAGCTGACAGATTCCGCACAGCTTCAGGAACTCACCGGAACTCACCCATGCTCAGGACCGTCTAATCATATCGACGAGGTCTACCGAACAGACAAGCCAAGCGTCTGTGCCCTGGTTCTGGCCACTGTCAGACGTCCCAAATGTACAACATCTCGCTGGCTGTTGATTTCCTGCAATCCATGAGACTTTCCACATTCAGGGCACAGTGCTTCGGCATCAGTCACTGCATTCGGCTTGCCCTGCCAGACACCATGGCTGCTCTATTGCTACGCAGCTCTGCTTGATGCATCCCCATCTTTAAGTCAGGTCACATTCTCCACTGCGCAGCTATGACCGACAAGCACAAAGGATAGGTGGGCAGCATGACCTCGAAGCACAGGCCTACTGACAGTCGACGGTTGCCTCCCCGAATGCAGCTCTGAAGCCAACGGAGAAATGGCCAAGACTGGAAACCTTGGGAAAAAGGACCCGCTTGCTGAGTTCACACCAGGGCTTGGGAAAATTCTGAGCCTGGCCACAACCTCCCACATCTCCTCCGCCGGCACAGCTCTGCGGTTGAGATAGGAGAACATGGCCGTCATGCCCATCTGGTTTCGCAATGCCTTGCCTGAGCTGGTTAGGGCTGCGGCTGGGGATGCAAACAGCAACCGGCCGAATCCCTCCAGAACGACAATGAAAGCCCCAGAAAGCAAGCCAAATAGAACGACAGCTCCTGCCACAACGGCCAATTCTAACTCTGTAAAGCGCTGAGATTCGAATGCTTTCGAGAGGCACGGGCACGACCACGTCTCCATACAGCATCTCTAACGTATCAGTTGATGTGGGCCTCACTGGAACACCACCTCCAGGATTGAAACTTACCGTCTAGGATGGTCCAAGCTCACTCCCTCCATGTCTCAAGAATCAACCCCCCTGAACCGCGGTCCTATGGCCACCAAGGAAACCATCGGCGATTTCAGGAAGTTGCGATGGTCATCGTCGTAAAAACTCGCGCCGCCAGCCTCGAGCAAAGCCCGAAGCCTGAAGGCATCGGACGCAGCATGTGCATTGCGCAGATTCTATAAGGCTTGATCTCCTGATCACTACATACCACTCACCAGATCTAATCAGGAACCCTAGCCAATTGAAAGGATGCACTCAGCCCCCTTGGACAGTGCTCCGCACTGCTGTCAGGCGCGCTTTCCACCGAGCTGCTTCCCCGTGTAGGGGATCTCGCCCCCCGCGTCCCACCAAGCGATCTGGTCCAGAACGGGCAGGCCGCAAGGCAGTGTCCGCGCCAGAGAAGGGAGCCTACCCCACAGTGGGATTTCAGCAAATCAAGAAACGCAGAGAAACTCGCATCTGCCGCTGTGAGCAGTAGCCACTATCGTCAGGGGTTAGATTCGAGCACTTACATTTAAAGCGCAGGTCTCGTCTCGTTAAGGTATCAGCAGTGCTTAGTGAATATGAAGGGTGACAGATGTGTAGTAATTCGTTTGGACTACCAAAAACAGAATGAAATATTGTATACGCGCAACACAAACATTTGTACCATGGTGAAGCGATACACAAACAACATTCATGCATGGATGCCCAAATGATTTGTGATTTGTGCATGCGAGATGAAAAATCACAACGATAAACCAAAAAATCCCTCTGCCGGCAAATAGTCCAAAAAAGCAGAACAGAGCAGAGCAAAAGAGGATACAGACACGATGATCGAGCAGCGAACTGCACATCAAGCCTCAAGCAGCAGAGTTGAAGCTGCTTCGTTTTGGCTGGCACCTCTTAGCCCCAACACGAAAACCCTCATGCATCTCCAACATCGAGCAACTGCTTGCATTCAGATGGCAAAGCCTGGCTTTTTCAGGGAGGCAATAAAGCCGCATGAGCCTTAACTCCCGAAAGGTTGGCAAGCACAGACCTAAAGTCCTTCTTGGAGGCGGCAGGGCTGAAGCTTCAGAAAGAGAACTACAGAGAAACGCGAAAGGACACTGAAAAGGGCCGAGGCTGGCGAACCTCGGAAAAAGCGCGCTTGAGTTCAGCGGGAGGCAAGCAACTCTTCTTTCGGTCCAAGCCCTGCAGCCCTATGAACCCCTGAGCGGAATGCAAGCTTACAAACCTTGCAGGGACAAACCCGAATTCCATGCGTTCTGCAAGACGAAATGCAGAAGATTCGAAGATGGGCACGTTCTGTTTCTGTTGATCTGCAGTTGCACCCTTCCAGATGAAGGATAATTAAAAGTCACAGCCCGCAAAGGCCGACAATCTGTTGTCCTCCCGTCTTGACCCCCCACCGCACCCAGAGCAGTTTCAAGTTCGTCCGGCCTTTCACTTGAGCTTTCCTCGCAAGCCGAGAATTTCGCTGGTGCCTCAGAGCGCCAATGCGAATTTCTCGGAGCATTGCACCAGGCTCGGTGCGTCGAAACCTGAGATACCGGCCTGACCCGCACGCACTCCATCATGTCTCTGGCCTTGCTGTGACTGCAGACGCACAGTTGAATCTCTAGACTCTAGGTATGTTGAGTTCATCTAGTGAATACAGGTATGCTGGCTTAACAAAGTAGTGGACTTATCTACCCCGACTGAAAGGTCCTGCCCCCACAGGCCCGTTCTCTTTCCATATCCCCCCGCTAACAGCAACAGCACGTGAGAACGTGCAAAAGGTGCGAGGTATGCGTGTATATGTGTGCACACAAACGTACAGGTACCGATGCACGCATGCATGCACGCTGACACGTACATGACACGTACATGCACATATGTGCAGAGACACTCGTCATGGAGCCCAGCTCGCGGTGCGGACGCGTCGCAGAGCAGCGCTGCTCCGCCGACCAGGCCGAGGCCGAGCGCTTCCCTCAGACCGTCTCGGCCTCGCCATGCAGCGCGCGAAATTACTGCGAGGTGCGAGATGCTCCCGTGGCCTTCCTCAACGCTGCGAGCCGACATGCGCTGACGAGCGGAGGCCTGGGCGTCCGCTGCCGTCGCCACCCCATCGCCTGTGCGGCTGCGCAGCCGCGAGCTCGGCCTCGGCCTCCGCCCCGTCTTGTCGTCTTTTCGCCCCTAAGGCCCTTAAGGCCCTTAGTTAGCAGCTCACAACCGCCCCCGCGTGCCTGAAGGCCATGGGAGCATCGCCGCCCCAGGCGAAGCGGCAGGCGAAGGCGCCGCATCCGCGTAGTCCGAACCACGGGGCGGCTGTGCTACAGTCAGTGAGAACTGCCACGGGCCAGAAATGCCAACAAAAGAATGCAACAAGCGCCGAAAGCTGCGCGATCACCGCGAAGTTGCAGCACCATGCACTGCAGAGCGTAACAGTCATTGCTGCGCCTGGCAATCGTTCATTGTCCAGCTGCCAACAACCTGCGATCAGGCTCCAATCACAAGAACAATTGGCGGCAGCCCAACCTAAAGGACTGCAAGTGACTAAAACCGAGTCGTCTTCGACGACCTGTCGCAGCAGTGTTGTCTGCAAGAGGCCTGGTAAGTGCCAACGAGTCCATCCAAGCTTGCCCGGAAGGCTCGGTCGGCAGGCGTGTCCGTTTCCTCATCCTGCACAACGGCCAGGCAGGCCGTCTGTCCTACTTCAGCTCCGAGAGCAATCGTTGTCACTCGCTGGCCTTCGGCAGCTTCTCCCAGTCTACCATCCTCCAGCGCCCCTGAACGTGTAGACGGACCCGAAACCTGCTGGCAGAACACGTCGTAGAGGTACTGTTTCCGGAACTGGGAAAACGTGGCCATCTCAGAAACACGTTTCCTTGTCGACCTCTAAACTGCAGATCAGCAGGCTGAACGTATCATCAAACGAAGCACAAGACCCTGATGCAAGAGGACGGCCCCAGCGAAGTTTGCTGCAGCTCAGCAGGATGCAGGTACACGTGAGGCGTATGCGGTTCTGCCTGTCCCCTGCGACGGCCGTCTGGTCGTCGAAGGAAGGCAGCTCATCAGGTACTATGACCTGGACGGTACAATCGTCATGCTGCATGCTTGACAGGTTGAAAGGAAATGCAGCTGTTGGGGCAGGGGCAGTCCAAGCGTTGCTGTCACCGATGGTGAGCTGCTTCTGCTGGCTCGTGTCCGGCAGGTCCTCGGCCTGGACGGGAGCAACTTGGAAGCGCAAAATCGCAGCTTTCCGGAGCTCGATCACGGTCGACGGCTGGACGAGTGTTGGACGAGTGAACTTATGTCCACATGCGGCAGACGACATTGTTCGTGGCCCGTCTGCACCTGGGTGTGATGGCGTTCCGGATGTGCATGATGGTTTCAGGTATCATTGACGGGTTTATGCACACAACGATCGAGCACTGTTCAAGCATAGAACTGCATAGGTATACTCGCATATGTAAGCGCCTTAGCTTTTGTCTGATAAGTGTTGTACATAATCGGTGGAACTGCTATATCGGTTATGTCACCAATGTCAAACCGTCTTTTACAATGGCTGCACACTGCTAAACCAGGCTATGTTTCTATGTTGTGCAAAACGCGGAGACTGCATCGCTAGTTTTGTTGTTGCACAGAAGTACCACAACACCATGTTCTTCCAATGCTCCACACACCACACCACACTACCACTGGATGATAGCCTCACTATATTAATATGGCTGGACTGCAATACTATTGATCTGTACCGGGCTGCATGAGAGCTAGAAAGGCTGTGCGATGGATTTGCTGTGCCACTACTTGTGTGAATTTGTTCTGTGTCTGTCCCATCATCGCATAGCAGTGCGCTGTAGCTCTATTGCACTGTTTTAGTAAACCCTAAACCCTAAACCCAGGACCTTTGCATTCCTACGTCGGTTCTCAGCTGTTGGCTTGTTCGGCCGGTCCGCGGACCTTTCTTCTTTCCTTCCTCCGCCGAACTGGACCTTTTACACTTTGCGCTTCGGATGCTTCTCGCCTCTGGCCCTTCTTATCACTCCGCACATTGTTCAACTTTCTACTGGCTCTCTGTCGAGCCAGCTGCAGCGCTAAAGCCTTTTCTTTGCTGTGCCACCGAATGGGAACCTTGTCCTGCGACCAGGGGCGTCCGCCCAACACCGAAACAAATGCATCCCCTGTTTTGGCATGCAGTGCTTGACAGCATTGATGCACTGAAACAGGTACATTGCTGGTGATGGCCAGCATCTGGGAACATAACACGGAGAGTGCCCCCTCTGTGTGCCCCCCAGCTTCAGTGCAGGTTAAGCTCATGGACTCATGGGAAGCATGTTTGCTTATGAGCACACCCCGTGCTTATAACAAGGCGAGCTGGCGGTTCAGAGTTTCTGTTGCAGCTGGGAAGGGAAAGAAACACGCACCAAAAGAAACAAGACAGCACTCTCAAAAAAACAGACTAGAAACATACGAAACCACTCAAGCTCTACCCAACAGCCTCTTCTGTATTCACATGTATTACCGCAGACCCATATGTACTGCCGCAGACCCATATGCACAGGTGAGCAGAAGTTGCGTCATGCTTTCCGTTCGACTGTATGCCGTCTGCCATACATCCCATGCAAAACGCACAGCATTTCGCAAGTTGTCGGGACTCAGCCTGCACTGCACCTTTGGGGCGGCCCTCGATGTGCCAGCTGAGGATCTGAAGCACAGCCTGTCCGAAGTGTAAAGCATGTAGCACATGCCGCAGCTGTCTTTCCTAGTGCTTCTTTGGCTGGGAGGCCGTGTAGCATAGTGAACGCCTGACTGGTCAACAGAAGAATGATCGCGGACCCAACTGCTGCTGCTCTATCTTGTCCCGCTGTTTACCAGGAGGTTTTGGCTTTCCTAAATTCCAATTGCAGACGCTCTTCACAAAGAGATAAAACCCTATGTCAAACCGTGCAATGCAGACGCGCCAACCTCGGGCCCTGCAACAGGACAGCACTTGTCGCCCTTGCGCAGGGCACGGTTCTTTACATGCCCTGATGCGCAGCACTTCAACCCCTCCATGCCTGAGGCAGGACCGGGTGGAGCACACGCGCGGTGTCACCATCCACGGCAATTTGGAAGCGCTCCCACCTGAGGCTGCGGATGTCTCTCATGCATCCGCCCGACTTCATTCCCACCTGTTCTCGCTGAGGATGATGGTGGCCCCGTACACGCCTGGTCCTTCCATCTCCATGGGCTGCGGCCGCCACCTGCGTGCAGAAACGCACATGGTCTTGTAAGATGCAACCTCAGACGTTTAGCAGATGCAACTTCTCTCGGCATGTATATATATATATATATATATATACATACATACACATAACATACATAATATATATATATATATATCATATGTGTCACGCTGGTTCTAACACCTGCCAGCCGCGCGACTTCAGTAATAGGACAGGGCCGCAACTGGTCGTGTAGAGGGCATCGGAACTCGTAACCCAGCAGCCGTACGAAAGAACCAGAAATATACCCCCAAACCCTATTCTAATAATTGAGGCCCCTATATTATAACAACAGATACCCTAAACCCTAAACCCTAACCTTAAAACGAACCCTCCGTCTCCAATCGGCCTTGTGAAGGTGCCCATGATGCTGTAGCCCATGCGTGGCTGCATGTCTTCGGCGAGTGCGCCACCTGCAAAAAAAGCAACCGGACCAGGCGAGCCTTTCGGAATTGTGTCGATTCTCTGACCCTTCAGTTAGAGTTCGTCTCGAACGGCGCCTCCCTTCGGCCAGAAGAGGATTGGCTGGACGGCCTCCTGTCAAGAAAAAGCATGTTCGTCGAGCGAATCGCCTACCAGCGGACACGCGCCTTGTACGGCGCTTGAATGGCCTTCCGGGGTCGGTAAATTTCTGAAGGCACCTCAGGTCATGGGCCGTTTGGCGTCTTCACGGCAGAGTGCTCCAAGCCTGGCCTTGGCAAAGACAATGGCGTGGCAGTTGGTCCCAGCCATGCTGCGGTTCAGGATCCCTCAGCAGGCAGCAACCCCCTGGCAGAACTCCCTTATAAACATGGCAGTAACATTCCTCTGCTATTCAGCTCATCTTGCCCAAAAGCCGACGGCAATAAACACTCTGGCACAACGTCAGTGTCGTCCGACGGGCACGATATCTCGAAACGTTGCTGCAAGCATTGAGATGATCACCGGTAGTTTTTCGTCATGCTCGTTCTTTCCATTACTACTCATACCGTTGCTTTGCAAGAAGTTGCCACGATTGTTCGTCATCCTCTGCATATGCTAAGCTTCGTGCTAGTGTTCTCATTCATGGTATCGTGTTTCTAGATGGCTACAAAATTCTCAAATGCTTGACACTAGTGCTAAGACTGATGAATTTGCATGCGAGCGTTGCTCGCCGGATGCGATGCCGTGTGGAACACACATCCAGTAGGACATGCTTTGCAGATGATTTTTACTTTCCGGGGCGGCTCCGTCCAATGCATCTTTATAGTGCTTGTCTGATACTACTGCTAGGTTTGATAGAGCACAGCTGGATAGTGTGTTTCATGGGAACCGAGGCCGGCCTCAACGGTGGTGAGTGTCTGTGTGTGTGAGCGTGTGAATGTGTGCGTGTGTCTGTGTGTCTGTGTGTCTGTGTGTCTGTGTGTCTGTGTGTCTGTCTGTCTGTGTGTCTGTGTGTCTGTGTGTCTGTGTGTCCGTGTGTCTGTGTGTCTGTGTGTCTGTGTGTCTGTGTGTCTGTGTGTCTGTGTGTCTGTGTGTCTGTGTCTGTGTGTCCTGTCCTGTTCTGTCCTGTCCCGTCCTGTCCCGTTGCCTGTCTGTGTCTGTCTGTGTCCGTCTGTGTCTGTCTGTGTCTATCTGTGCCTGTTTGTGTCTGTCTGTATCTGTTTGTGTCTGTCTGTGTCTATCTGTCCGTGTCTGTGTTTCCGCGTCTGTCTCTTTCTCTCGAGGGTAAGAAGATGGCAGCGGCCCAGGACGGTCCAGCCACCCTCTTCACGCGCGAGCGCGCACCCGCAGTTCATTGACGAGTGTCGATCCCCCCGTCCAATGGAGGCTCCCGTTGTAATGGAGGGGAGAGAACTACCCCCCACTCGATAAAGAAAGTTGGCATGCTGAACACTATTAGTCCTGCCCCTTTCTTTTCAGTATGCTGTGTGGCTTTCACGGCACCATGGGAGACAACAGAGCATCAACGCAGACGTGTGACAGCATCAGCACAAGCAACCTGACGGCCGGGCCGGTTACACAGCAGATATGGCATGTGAGAGGGATGGCAGCGTGCATACGACGGCGCCTGTGGCTACGTTCGCTTGCAGTCCTCGTTGTGTGACGTGGGCATGAAGGTCGCTGTCCCCCCACACTCTCATCTGGGACTGTTGCTGTTTCTCCCGGTAGGTTGGGAGATGCTGCCTCTGTGTCTGTGTCTGTGTCTGTGTCTGTGTCAGTGGCTCTGTCTGTCTGTCTGTCTGTCTGCCTGTCTGCCTGTCTGCCTGTCTGCCTGTCTGCCTGTCTGCCTGTCTGCCTGTCTGCCTGTCTGCCTGCCTGCCTGCCTGCCTGTCTGTCTGTCTGTCTGTCTGTATCTGCCTGTCTGTGTCCGTCGGTCTGTGTCTGTCTGTCTCTTTCTGTCTGTCTGTCTGTCTGTCTGTCTGTCCGTCCGTCCGTCCGTCCGTCTGTCTGTCCGTCTGTCTGTCTGTCTGCCTGTCTGCCTGCCTGCCTGCCTGCCTGCCTGCCTGTCTGTCTGTCTGTCTGTATCTGCCTGTCTGTATCTGTCGGTCTGTGTCCGTCGGTCCGTGTCCGTCTGTCCGTGTCCGTCTGTCCGTGTCCGTCTGTCTGTCTGTCTGTCTGCCTGCCAGCCTGTCTGTCTGTCTGTCTGTCAGTCTGTCTGTCTGCTCTCTGTCTGTCTGTCTGTCTGTCTGTCTGTCTGTCTGTCTGTCTGTCTGTCTGTCTGTCTGTCTGTCTGTCTGTCTGTCTGTCTGTCTGTCTGTATCTGTCTGTCTGTGTCCGTCGGTCTATGTCCGTCGGTCTGTGTCCGTCTGTCTGTGTCCGTCTGTCCGTGTCCGTCTGTCCGTGTCTGCCTGTCCGTGTCTGTCTGTCCGTGTCTGTCTGTCCGTGTCTGTCTGTCCGTGTCTGTCTGTCCGTGTCTGTCTGTCCGTGTCTGTCTGTCCGTGTCTGTCTG